CCGTATGATTATTTTCTACTGATAATCTCTTTCATGTGAACTACCTATACACATTCTTAAGAGTTTAAGAAAAGCATTTCAAAATGATTAATAGAGATGAAATGCTCAAAACCATAGATGCACAGTAGTTTATGTCTTCTCAATGATTAAGAGTTCTCAGTATGTACCATTTGGCTTCTAAATGGGGGAAAATCAGCTAATATCTACAAGTATCCTATAGATATCCTAATATCCACAAATATCACAAGAAAAGATGGGAGTTAGATACTGCTCCCCCAGAACCATCAGCCTATCAACCCCAACAGCAAGAACTTCTGGAGAATGGGGTCAATGGTTGGGAACAAAACAAAACAACAACAAAAACCTCCCAAGGAACTAGAATTCAGAGCTTAATATCTAAATTAGCTATGAGTAAATTTTTAGCTATCTCTAAATGTTTACCTACAATGTAGAGTATTGTTTAGACATTCTTTATACACATTTCAGGTTCCTGAATAATTTAATCTGTCATTTTCTTGTCTTTCATAAGTATATAGATAAATAATATATGTTGTTTTAAACTTCCCTATATTTCACTCACAGAAAATCTTCTTGTGCTACCATGCTCACCATACTTCTCCTTCCCAACTTTTGGAACTTTACCTAAATGTGTAAGAAAAATGGAATTTCTTCTATAATCTACTATAGTCTTAATCTCTATTCAAGAATATTTGAAGACATTATCCTTTCCATGGGAACACAATGCAGATTTAGGTATATCAATATTTAAATTATTTTTAATTCCAAGGATTAAAGTATAAATGTAAAGTATAAGTATAGCATATGAATAGGACAGTATAAAATCTGAATAGATTCAGAATTGGTGTGCCTGATGAGTTAGGGGACAACCATATCTAACTCTGAAGTATTCACTGATTTAAAGTCATGTCTATTAGGCTGTGCGGTGCGGTTGCATGATTTACTAAATTAAAAGGACATTTTAATCTTCTCAGTGCTTCAGAAATAATAATATTGTACATTGAAATCAGGATTCAGAAGAAACTAGCAAAGAGTTCAAACTCTCAAGTTCATTTTTTTTATCTATTACCACATTTTATTTAGATGCTTACATATTTGTTAACTCTCTTGTTAGAACTGAGTGAAAGACAGGGACAAAATCTATTTTTCTGTTTCCAGCACCTACCAAGGAGCTTTACGCTTACTCTGGGCTCAGGGAATGTTTATAGAAGAAATCAATGAATGAGTTATACAGTGATTTCCCCAAGCACATGTGATTTTTTTTTCTGGTTATTTGTCGCCTTCACTGCACATTATCTATATATTGCTTGTCGTGTGTGTGTTATATTTTGTATATTCTCCCTTGTAGAACCAAAACTCTTTGGCAAAGATAGCCTCTGTGGAATAATGGCGCCCAAAGATGTCCAGTCCTAATCCTTGGCACCTGTGAATATGTTACCTTGTGATGGTATATTATCCTGGATTATTTGGGTGGGTCCAATGCAATCACAAGGGTCCTAAAAAGTGGAAGGGGGAGGCAGACAAGGAAGACTCCAACCACTATTGCTGGTGGATGATGTAGGAAGGGGGCATAGCCAAGGAAAGCAGCCAGCCTCTAGATCCTGGAAAAAGCAAGAAAACAGATTCTCCCGTAGAGCCTTTAGAAAGGAACACAGCCCTACTGACACCTTGATTTTAGCTCAGCAAGACCCATGTCAGATTGTCAGGAACTATGAGATAATCAATAAGGAGAGTTTAAGCCATTAAGTTTGTAGTAATTTGTAACAGCAGGAATAGAAGACAAATACAGTCTCTGACACACCTTTTGTACCCCCTTCAGCTACGGACACAGGATGTTGCACAAAAAGACTCAGCTATCTCTTATGGTTAATTTTTCTCATCACTTCCTTTATCTCTTACATTAGCGTTTGTTACCCCATTCCATGCTGGAGTGGGACAGCATTAATCAAGATTCGTCTGTTTGCAAATGACAGAAAGCTAACACAAACTCACTTAAGCAAAAGAAGCAGGAGGTACACATCTCACAGAAGTGGGACCTCCAAGGGATGGAACTGGGTTTCAGTCCCAACTATAATGAGGTCCCAAATCAGTCCACAAAGACTTTCTGTCTCTCTAATCTGCTTTCCTCTCTACACAAGCTTCTGTGTTTCTATAATTCACATTTTTAGCGGCAAGACTGCCCTCTCTGTCTTTCAGGAAGGGATTCTAATTTGCCCATCTTTGTAGCTTAGGAGGTTGAAAGGTGCTGTGATTATCCATTGTTACATTAAAAACGTATTGGCTAAAAGTACAAACATTTATTTTATTTACTTGAGGTTCTGCAATTTGGGCAACGCTATGGGGGACAGCTCATATCCACTTCACGTGACACCAGCCTGAGGCAGCTAATTGGAACTCAAGCATTCGCTTCCGAGATGGCCTCACTCACTCAAGCTGGTGCTGGCTGTTTGCTGTTTGCTCAACTGGGGTTGTCAGCTGGAAGACTCAGTTCTTCATGTGACTGCTCCAAGTGGTTGGGCTTCTCACGGTCCAGCAGTCTTAGAGCAGTTGAACTTTGTACATAGCCACTGACTTCCCACCCGAGGGCAAGGTAGAAGCTTCTCTAGGCCTTTTTAAGATTTAGCCCAATACTGACCCAAAGTCACTTGTGCCGCATTCTTTTGATTGAAGCAGATCACGGAGCCCAGTTCAGATTCGAGGAGAGGAGACTACACCCACAAAGATATGAATGCCATTGCCATGGTTCACTGGCCACCAATAGCAGGCTACCACAGTGGGTAATGGAGCTTTGTGAGTGACTGTCCACACACGACCATGGGGGAAATAAATTGTCAGGGCTATCCCACAAAGAAAAGGGGCTGAACACAAACCTCAGGTATCCTTAACAATCAGTTTCAAGAGTGCTCGAAAATACTAAATAAAGCAAAACTGCATTTCCGTCTATTTACTATATAGTTTGTACAATTTCTGGAGTTGGAGACGTAATTAAAAATTGAGGTTTAAAGTTAAGAAGTTGCAACTTTTTTCCCTATTCAATTTTTTTACTCTGTGAATGAAAATGATGGTAATATATACTAGATACTACCCCAAGGGAATTAAATGGTGCAAGATTCATGATGAATAAACTATAATGTGGCTAATCCAGTGGTGTTTATTTACAGTAACCTTTTTAATGTGACAATTCCTTGGATATTGTAGTGAAATATTTTCACCCTACACCTACATTTTTATGGTTTGTATTTATTCTCCACAGTACAAATCCCAAAATGTCAAATTACTAGAGCTGTTTTATGGAAATTAGTTTTAGGTTAGACTATTTGAAATGCATTAAATTAATTTTATCTGTTTAGCAAAGTACAATAAGGTTTTTCGCATTAACAAAATTTTCTTTATAATATCGGCTGTGTGTGTAGGTTTAAAGACATGGTGGACTCAAAACACTCTTGTTTGAATATTATATTTAGCAAATGAACATGCGCTGTTGGGGATTAAGCAGTATTTGGAAAATGTATGTGTAAGGATTATTTAGAATGGAATTGCCAAAAATCCTGGAATATTTAATACACACTTGTTGATTGATTTTACTGCAATAAATACGAAGCAATAACAACTATATAAATTATTCAGAGACTAGTCATCCACAGCAGGATTCTTTAGAGATTACCTCAGAAACAGTTTGGCAGGATATTCTTTTTATAGTTTTTTTTTTTTTCCCAAGTCCATGTACAAAAGAGATATAGATCCATATGGAATGGATTAACGTTGATTCTTTTAAAATGAAATTAAACATTTTAAAACATTCAAGTAAAGATTGTATGATCTTTCATACTAAAGCTCTCCTTGGTAATTTATTTATCTTAAATATTATTTTTGTCTTTCAGGAGGCATTATATAGCGAATGTAAGAGATTTATTAAAAACCTTGGATCGCTTGAGAGTGCTTTAGTACTTTGCCTCAAAATCTGCACATAGGCAAAATTCCTGATATTATGAGTTGGGATTTTCAGTTTAAGAAGATTTAAAATCTCTGCTAAAGCAAGGGCTTGTTAGGTGTTTCTAAGCATCATATATCAGAGAAACCCAGCTACTTACCAATCATTCAAACTAAAATGGGGCAGGACAGGTCACATGGAATCAAAGAGACCAATTTAGACCAAGTGGGGAAGGTATCAAGTTCTCTTAAAATTGGTCTTTTGTTCTAGAAAGATATCCAGCTCCAGAAGCAGATAGAATAATCAGTATTTACATAGGTATGGACCTCTTTGTATATGCAGATCCAGATCACTTTTTAAAGATTCTCAATCATTAAAGCAGTTGGAGACATAGTGTTGAAAAGAGTAAATGTTTGCATATTTGGAGTTAGAGACCCCAATTATCTACTTATAAGTCATGTGACTTTGATACAGTCCTAATGACCTTTTTTTTTTTTTTTGCATAATAATCCTTTTGGTTTCCAGTTCCCCACTATCTTGAGGTTGTTCTGAAGATCCAATGAAAGAATGCCAAAATACTTTACACATTGCAAAGCATTACATTATTAAAATTTACATTATGACTACTGTTACTAATAAAACATGACTGGATGACTGACCTATAAACAATTCACTGAAAAATCCAAGTCTATTGGATGTGTTTTATTTTTTAAAAAATATGTTCATTTAAAGGATAGTCACGAGATCTAAAGTAGTCAATGCTTTTGTTCCCGTTATTTTTGAAGTACTAACCCTTACATTATTGACTTTCAATGAACACAAAATCTGGAGAGATGAATGTACAAATTTTTACTGAACAGTTGGGGATTATATTTCACTAACTGCAACCAAGAAGGGTCATGGCTGTTTATAAAAGAAAGAAATTTGCCTCCTGGTATGATTGGTTTCTTGAGATGATTTGTATCCAGCTGGAGGTCTGGCAATGGTGTGGGGTGCGTGGGGCCATTGGATATTTTTGTTAATGGTTTATTTCTCTGTGTTTCTCTCCCAGCTATCGGCAGGACCCTTATCCCTCGCTACTTTAGCACTGTGTTTGAAGGAGGGGTGACCGACCTGTATTACATCCTCAAACACTCGAAAGAGTCCTACCACAATTCATCCATCACAGTGGACTGTGACCAGTGTGCTATGGTCACCCAGCATGGGAAGCCCATGTTTACCAAGGTACAGGACATACTCAGCAATTTGGCTTGTTCTTCTGTGGGTGTGTTGAAGGATAATAATTATGCTTTTCTTCAAGAACTTTGAGCTGATTTCTCACATCTCAGACGCTCTCAGCACTATGAAATAGTCTCTTTTGTTTGTGATATGGCTAGACTCTTGGTGAACACTGTTCTTAGATGTGTGCAAATGATACAGAGCAAATATGATAGAGCCTCAAAACTAAGAGAGACAGTTTTGGCTGCCTGTTAAACTCAGGTTGCTAAATTAGAATCTTGATTGTTAAAGAATCTTCTATAGCTAAAAGAACATTCTCCCATTGTTGTGTGGTCAGTATTTGTGTTTTGTTTGTAAAATTAAATACTTTTTAAAGCTAAATTCAAATGCTAACAAACGGGAAAAAAGCAACTAACTACAACTCAACTAGTTGTAACCTTTAAGGAACATAAAAACATAAAAATGTAAGTGAAACTAAGGAATTCAGAGTTTAAAGTTTGTTTCCCCAAATTCTGAGAAGTTCTGTGGTTGGTCAGTCAGCAAGTGAGGACAGTAGAGCCGAAAGTTGGTTGTGAGAAAATGAGAAACACAGGGGAGGGTAGTGGGTGGAGGACCGGGTAACACAATCTTTGAGGCACAATTCAAAGCTCTATGAAGGATGTGAAGTGAAAGAGAATGTCTTCTATAAGTTCTACACCTATGACCCTTCCCATCCACAGACAACTGACATGTGGAATATTCCCTGTGTGCAAGGACCTTTCTGGAACACTACAGACAATCCCTTTATGTCCTCTCCCAAGTAGCAAAATTAGTAAGAACAAATATTTAGCCAGAGAATCTGACAAACAGAAGTTTATTTTCATGAACACTAGTTATTGCATTTTGACGAAGACTCAGTGTGAAACTAATCTGTAATATTAATGACAGCAGCTATCTCTTTTAGTTGAAAACACATGTGACAATCCCCTCTTTATAGTTGAGAAGTTGAATTTCAGGGTTAATTGCAAAAGCCCAAATTACAAGACTAAGATGTGTTTGTTACTTGTGCACGGTTTTCCCAAAAGAGTAAAAGTAAAATGTTTATCATTTAAAGTATCCACTGATCTTGTTGGTGCAGCTTCATCTTCCCAGTTGCTCACGGTGATGTAAAAAACCAAGGGCAAAGGAAATGGTGATAAAATGCAAAAGCAAATCATCAAATGTCATTGATTTCGTGGTATCTTGATTTTGTCAATAGACATTTTAAATGTGGGGCAGAAGTTGGGTTTTTCTCTTTCTTCCTTTTTAACAGTTGAACAGAAAGGAAAGTTGCCAATCAGGGACAGAGAATATTTATTCCCACTGTACGCAGAAGTCCGTGCTGGGAAGAGATTTTAGTTACATGGAAAGGAATGATCACCTGGATGACAGTTTAATCTGCCCATGTCTCACTCACTTCATTTTGGAGATGTAAAATATTTACATAATCTTGTATCTCAGATGGATAACACAGCCTATTTCAAATGTTAGGAAGTCAGAGCCCCACAGAGAAAAGCTTTCTCAGCTAGCTCATTATTGTTGTTTTGTTTTGTTTTGTTTTGTTTTTGTCTAGGTTTAGCATTATGTTTAGGTAATCAAGAAAAACATGCCAATTCCTTATGCTTTAAGGGAAAAAAGAAATCCATGGAAATTAAGTAAAATGGCTGTAGTGAAGAAGCTACTTCCAAAGCCTATAGCCATTGAAAATAAAAATGCATTCTGTGGCATCCCTTTTATAAAACATAAAATATTTTATGTAATCACAGTAATATAATATTTTATAATAAATTTTATAATAAATAATGTTAAGATAACGTGTAATATTTTATATACATGTAAAATATATACTAAAAGGTAGTCCTTTATATTTTCTCAATTTCTTTCATTCCAGGACAAAGCTTTTTCATAAATGAGCATAGTTAGCTGCTCTGAAGGTAAAATGCTGTATATTCAGGACGGGTTTTAAATTTTTAAAAAATCTCATTCTTCTGATGAATCGATAAAGTGCCTTTTTTCATTCAAATCAAGAAGTGAGGGTTTCCCTCTGTTTCAATTTTTCCTCACCCAGGAATGCTTCCCTCTCAGATGGCCACAGGGAAGACCAGAGCAGCCTCCTCCTGAACTCAGCTCTTTCAGCCCCAAACATCAATTATTCAGGTCACCTCTCACTCTACTCTATGGCAATACATTTCCCAACTCTCATAGTGAATATTTCCATACTGCGATGAAAAATATCACTTTCTGGGAAATGCAGCCTAGCTATGTGGACTTAGTGCAGATGCTAATTATGCACATTTATTTTTAGAAAATTCTAAAGCATTCATTTTTTTCTTTTTACTTTTTTTTCTTTTTTCCCCCTCCTTTGTGATTATTATACTACCCAAAGAATCCTTCCAATTTTTCTTTTGTTCTTATATTAATTAAAAATAACCCATCTTCGTGTAATAAAATAATGTATTTAGTATAAAACATTGAGCTAGTGACCTTTCAGTATCACAAAGAGAAATATAGTCTGGAATCTGCTGCTTTATTTTTAAAGGGGAGCCCGCTGAACATGGAACTACTTGAGCACATTTTGTACTGGCATATCACATTGTTCTAATTTAGACTATCAATACACTCTAATTCCCCAAATAGCATTTGACCCAGTGGTTCTGAGTTTCTTTTATGAAAATTTGGTCAACTGGTGAATCAAAAATCAGTCGCAGTCCTAATCAACAGTAATATTTAATATTCCTCAGGAGTATAGTGCACATTTTGCAATTTCCTGATCCTAGGAACATTATAGATTATGGATAAATACGTAATTAGAGTTTTAAAACACACATTATGAAGCCTTTCTTTTCTGTATTCAATTTCGAATCAAATTGAAAACAAGGCTTAATAATCTGGAGAGCAATCACCAAGGTTTTCAGAATCAAAGACCCTTGAATTATATTTGAGGGTGTGAATACTGGCAGATGCTGAGAGGAGCCCTCTCTGGGGTACACATCGGGCTACTTTTTTTTTTAGATTTTGCAAACTAATAGTAATAGTTGCAGCCGTTACCAAACACCCTTATCACTCTGCAAACATGGCTTTATGTTTTCTCTGATCTTGATTATTTATTATGCAATCATTTATTACTATAGAAAGTACCCTGGAAGTGCCCCAGCCACTTTCCCTATTTGAATACTTATTCATGTCTTTGACATCGTTCCTATCTTAGCCTGTCTACAACATTATAGTCCAGGTTTTATTCATTTCTACCCTTATCCCAACTCCAGTCAAATTAGTATAATATCAATGATCATATTGCTCTAATATACGTATCCATATGCATTTACATATGCAGTATCTCCACATAAAATACGATGAGCTTTATGCAATTGTTAATTTGAAAGCAGTATTTCATGCATAAAGACCAAGAAAACTAAGTAAACACTTCTACCTAAAAAGCACATTTTCTTTCCTAACAGCTCTATGAAAATCATTTGTATTATACAACGGCATGGTCAACATTGCTTCACAATTAGTCAAAGAAAGAAAAGGGTTAAAAAGCTACCGGTTAGTTTGAGAAATGTTCTTTTTTAGTTCTCTTGTTCCTGGCCTAGTCTCAAGCTAGCACGTGATCCGCTGAATGCCTGCCAGCCTCTTTCTTGTTGATCCTCCGGAGACCATCTGTGCTGGGGGCATTGATTAGAGTGTGTCTGCTGGGATTACATCTTTTCTGTTGCCATGCCAACTAATCAGCTGATTTTGGTTACCACAGAAACAAAATGTCAGAGCTCACAGTACGGTAACATGAATTCAGCACAACAGAAAATGTTTTCTTAATTGGGGACCCTTTTGATTTTGGATTCCAAGTGAAAGGCAGCTTAAAAAAAAAAGGCCAACTTTAGATAAAAGCTACATTAATTGTATTGATTAAGAGGAATGCACAGAATTTTTCTGAAAAGAGAAAATATTAATTCCCCTTTATAAGCTATGTCTGTTTTTTACCATTTCCAGACAAGGAGTATATATATATTTTTTCTTAGGCCCTTCTATTCCATTTGCTGATTGTCGCATGTAAAATAAATCACAAAGCCTTCACTTTCCTTTAACTTCCGTGATGGGAGCAGGACGCAGGGAGGCCAAATAGGGCTTGGGAGAAGGCCATGGGTAAAACTACCTGGGACGGGGGGAGACCAAGAGTGACCAAATTCTCCTCCATTCTTCCATTCAAGGAAGTCATTTAATTTTCCTTAAAACACCCAACACAGTCAGCTTGGATTCAATTTTAAGGATTCCTCTCTTGCACGTGATATGCTCTGGATATTTCTTGGTTTGAGCTGACAAGGGAGAAGCCCAGGGCTTGTTGCAGTTTTCCCTTTTGTAGGCCCATGACAGTTTGAAGGCAAGAAGGGTCCTTAACTGGTTTGCTCTGTCATGGTAAACAGAGAATACAATTTAACTTGACCTTAGAGATCCTCCAGCTGAGTAACTCATCAGAAGGATTCCATCTATGCCTTCTCATTATGAGATTCTATTCCAGTAGAAGTAAACCAGAACCTCTATCTGCCCTGGGTTTGTGGTTCATAAACACAAAACAAATAGATTACATAAGAAAAAAGCATGACATTTAACTGGGCTAATATTTGTTTAAACATCTAATAATCCCCCTTCTTTAAAAAAAAAAAAAGGATTATAGCATCCAAATATCCCTGTCCTCTACTGTCAAGACATTTCAACTGTCCCTGACTGACTGCAGTCACCTCCCTTTTGTGAAAGCTTTCACAGCAGGTGGCTTCTGTCATGCTAACACCCCGGGGGGGGGGGGATTGTGTGGCTTAATCTCCATGTAACCCTTTTGAAAACCTTGGTGAATTAATTCCAATGCTAAGGATGTTCTAGAAGAGTGGTTTGAGGACAACAAAAGTCTTCCCCCATTTCTGAGTGCACAATGCTCATGGCTAATGTGCCAGAGAGGAAGCTCTGAAGACCACTCAGTTGAGGAGGTTTGGGGCAAGGTGTCTAAATGCTTAAAATTACCCATGGATTCTGCTAGTGGGGTCTGAGCTGAAGGTCTTCACCCAGATTATCAATAATTATCCTAACCAACTGAGCCACCCAGGCGCCCTATCAATAATTATCCTATGGTGCTTCTGAGACCTGTGAAAAAAAGAAAATTGTGGACGTCAATAGCATCTCTCTTAAGTAGTATGCTGGCAACACATGTTACTCACACTCCTTGTACTGGTATTTGGCTTGTTTAAAGAAGATATTACCGGAGCACTTGGGTGGCTCAGTCAGTTAAGCATCTGACTCTTGATTTCAGCTGAGGTCATGATCTCAGGGTCTTGCGATCGAGCCCCCCACTGGGCTCCATGCTGGGCGTGGAGCCTGCTTAAGATTCTCTCCCCTTCTCCTTCCCTGCCCACCCCCCCCACTGGCACATTTCTCTCTCTCCAAAAAAAAAATTTTAAAAAAGAAAAAATAATAAAGAAAATACTACCTTAAATTAAATAGAAAGCATCTAACCCAGTGCCTGGGACATAGTTGGAACTCAATAAATGGTGGCCTTCCGTATCAAATTCCCAAAGAGAGAAATGGTTATTAATACCTCACAAAAGGTTGAAATCAATTGCTAATTATCTTCATGGACTATAGTTTCAGAAATGAGCATACCCCCTATTGAGTCAATTGTTATTTATGATTTTTAAAACTTGTGTAGTGCATTGATTTCCAAAACTGTGTATATTTGTTTTTAGCATAGGAAATCTTTCTCCAAAAAGGCTTGATCAGAAGTGCAATATATCGAAAGGATGAAATTGAAGCTGCTCTGGTTGAATTGAGAAAATGGGTGGAGATCACGTGGTCTAGATGGAGGCTGAACTCTTCCCAGCAGAGCCCCTGAGACACCTCCCTGGGTCCCTAGGTCCCAGAGAGCACATTATGACAACCACTAGTCTGGGGTTCTTTGTTCTTTAGTTGCATTCCTTTTATCTTTATAGCTATCATTTCCTGCCATCCTACTGTGTGCCACGTACAATACCAGGCAATCTCCACACACACACATTATCATTCATGTATTTCCCCAGCAACCCTACGTAAGGTTAGTATTATCCTCATTTTACAGATGAGGAAACTGGAACCTAGGGAATTTATCTGGTTTTCTCAAAGTTCCAAAATAAGTGAAAAGTCGAGTTCAGATGGGCATCTAGTACTTTCTGATGTCAAGGTCTCTGTCTACTCTAAAGCAAAGATGAACGGAATAATTAGTTGTAACTATTTAAACTGGACCCATATGCTACCACTACTTGTTATTTTTTAGTTGAAATAGGATCAGTGGTGCCCGATTGCCTAGAATTTTCTCCTATTTCAAAGTCATTAACGGTGGAATAAAATAGGTAAATTAAATAGGAACTATATGCTAAAAATGATCTGAATATCAAAAGAAGAAATGATCACCCTGTCAAAGAAGAGAGCCTCACAAATTCTATGTTTCATTAATAATACAAATTTTTCTTAGAAAGATACCGCCCCTTCCCCCAAAGCCTGGCCTTTTATGCAAGCAGAATTTGTAACTGCCGATAGGATGTGATTGAAGGAAGACACTCTAAGAATGCCTCTATTTTCCACATGCCAATAACTGATCCCGACGGTGTTGGGTTACACATTGTCCCCCTGGAATTTGTCCCTGAAAATGAAAACTTCTTCTGGTTGGGTAACCTTGTAGTAAGTCACACTTAAGCATGAATTATTTTATTAGGTACTTTCTCCCAGAGTAGGACAACCACGATTAGAACCAGATTTCATGCGCTGATGGTAGAAGAATGATGAAAACAGAGATAAGAGGAGGTGAGAGAGTATGATTTTTGCAGGGACATGCCATATGCCAGGAGCTTTTGACATAATACTGCAATAATATAGGTTTTGTTCCCATATTTGCAAATGAAGAAACCCAGAGGCTCATGGAGTTTTGGCAGCAACCAATCAAGTTACTAGTAGCTCATGGCCAGTAAGCAGCTGTGCTGTCTTTTGAACCCACGGATTCTGGAGCTCATGCTTGTCTCAGTGTGCTGTGCAAAAGCACTCGTGTCACATCCTTGCCAAGATCCAGCGCTGCCCAAGGACAGCCAGGGAGACCATGCTGAGCAGCCGACGTGTGAGTTACAAAAATGTGGCATTCACAAAGTGCAAGGCAAATGAGTGTGTTGTTTGTCGCTTCTAGGTATGTACAGAAGGCAGACTGATCTTGGAGTTCACCTTTGATGATCTCATGAGAATAAAAACATGGCACTTTACCATTAGACAATACAGAGAGTTAGTCCCAAGGAGCATTCTAGCCATGCATGTAAGTAATTTCAGCACTATTTTACTCTTTCCTCCCTTCCCCCCCATCCCATTTACTCAAGGAGGAAAAGTCCAGTTCTCTCTGTGTGAAAGAACACCAGCAGTCTTCACGTGTTGGGTAATGAACTCTCAATTTTGAGTTTTCCCCTCAACCATTTTATTCAATAGGCCCTTTTTTCCCCTTCTTTGTTTCTGAGTTTGGTGCATTGTGAGATTTTTTTTTTTTTTTTGATATTTTATTATTTTAAACTCCAAACTGAGGTTACCTCAATAAACAGTTTGTACTTTTCTTAAATTCCACTGAGTCATTATAAAGTACTGCTCTGCCTGGGCTATTAACTGGGGAAGGAAATAAAACAAGAAGTAAGGAAAACAGTGTCCAGTTTTGATTAGAACCATCTGACAAGATGTGGGGCTCACGTACCTCAGATCTGTGTCTATATCATTCCTAACTATGGTGTTGGAATGAAGCGGGCGATTTGGGGTTCACTCTGTTTCACTCAACCATAAATCACATCACATTTACTGAGCACCAACTAGGTGCACAGCCAGATTCGATGCCAATCTGGAGATACGTTTTAGAGGTAAGACTTGGTAGGAGCTAGCTGAGTGCAGCCCCCGAAGAAGGCGTCAAAGGCATTGACTTAAATAAATCCCTCTTCCATAATGCATGATGCAGCAGTTTCTGTGAAAAAGCTTTGGAGCAAAATCAGACTTAATGAGCCTGATTTTTAAGACCCTGTACAATCAAAAGAGAATACAATAAGAGTAGCTAATATTTACTGGGTGTTTGCTATGCCAGGTCTTGTGCTAAGCATCTGTACACATTCTGTTTAACCCTCCCGGTAACCCAGAGAGTTGCAGGATCATTATCCCTGCTTTAGAAGTGAGAAACCCAAGGTTCGGGCTTGATACATTGCTCCATGTTTCTCAGCCAGCAAGTGGTAAGTCAAGATTTCAACTCTGCTGGTACGGACTCCAAAACCCAGGCTGAGGAGCCATCTGTCTCCTGACTATCCAATTCCAGTCTGTCTCCCCAGGCTTTTGTCCTCGACCCTCTCCTCCCTACCGGTTAACCCAATCTCTCCCCTTCCCATTGACCTTGTACTTCCTGCTGTGGCACCCCACTCCTTTGCTCCAATCTTCCCGCCTATTCACACCCCTAAGTTCTTCTCCACTTTCAAAGCCCAGTTCACATCCTCTACTCCCTTGAAACATCCCAGAGTAGCCACTCTTGTGTTCTCAAAAATAGACCAAGAGGCAGCAGACGGTAGCAGTCGGGAGCCCAGGCCCTGGAATGAGATCACATACATGTGTATCCCTGTTCCTGTGTGACTTTGGGCAAGTGACATGGCATCTCTGTGCTCCCCAGTTCTTCATCTATAAGATGGGTACAGTAATAGAGTCTGCCTCACTGAACTGGTTTGAGGATTAAGAGTTAATGCGTGTAAAGGACGTAAAAGAGTGCCTGGCACGTAGTAGGTCCTCTTCAAGTAGTGGTGACCAGCTTTCAGCAGCTTTGGCAGCAGTAACATCCTTCCTTCCGTTTATTATTATCCTGTCCTCTGTCTGCAAAGTTGATGTGTATGATGTTGGCCGCAACCACCTGATGCATATCTGTAGAACCAGCTCTTCCCGGCACGTGAAAGGGCTTCCATAAATACTGGCTCCGTGTCACAGAGGACCCCTTCCCAGAAACTGACATGAGAAGTGACACGCTCAGACTCTTTTCTCTGACTTTCGGTTTTTTGTTGAAATACACAAAGTCAATTGGTTGCATGACTCTGAGGAAATTTAAGTACAGGAAAGTCTAAATTAAAGTGTTAAGATAACCTAGGTAGTCTCATGACTACAGACATGAAGACAAAAACGATGTTTATTGAGTCTCTCTCTGCTTAGCTCCAGTTTGCTTCTGCCAGTTAAGAAAAAAGGAAAGACAAATGGAAAGAAAGAGTGTCAACCAAGAGACTCATCTCACAATGAAATCCAGAAAGAATTTTTATTTTTTTTGTAGCCCACCAGAACATATGGGGTTGCCCATGGAACATTACATCCCTCTTTTAAATGTGGCAGATAATTTGGAAAATGTGATGCTTTTGAGGACATCTATTTCTAACCTTAGCTTAATGGGGAAGAAATTTAGAATTCTTAAATATATATATATACATATATATATATATGTGTATATATATATACACACACACACACACACACACATATAATTTCATAGAAGTGACCAAGTTTTCAGATATAGTCTTGGAAACAAAGGCCAATCCTAAAGCCTGGCTCTACCAAATCCAGAGACCCTGCCTCCTCTGCTGAGTGCCAGAGACTTGGAAGTGTCCTGACAGGACTTCATGACCCTCCTCCTGAAGACATGGGGACCTCTCACAGAGGAAGTAAGGCTGTTTCTCCCAAGGACTAAAAGCATGCCTGACTCATTTTAGTTCTACCTGGCAACAGATCTTGCATCATTGATCCAAACATGTCCTTGAGCCATTATATGCAAGTGTCTTCAAAATGTAAATTAAATTATCTCCAGCAACCTTCCCTCTGAGAAAAACCGACAGTGTTGAGATTGCATTTCTTAGCAACTGTAGCCCAGTCTGAGACTTTCTTGGCACCATCTTGCAGAGATAAAATACATGATTCTCTTTTTCCTATTTAGGCACAAGATCCTCAGGTCCTGGATCAGCTGTCCAAAAACATCACCAGGATGGGACTAACAAATTTCACCCTCAACTACCTCAGGGTAAGACCAATGGGTTGATTACATTTCCTGGTGAATTTGAAAAGTACTTTAGAAGTGTATATGTATCTTGAACCAAGGAGTTAAAATGAGGTAATATAGCACAATATGTGTGTCTTACACCACAGTGTGTATGTGTGTGTGTGTGTGTGTGTTCAATGGAGGATGGGGTTTAATTAACAAAGCAGCAAACCTAGACTTTGTCAAGGTTGAACTTCCTCTCTCTGTTTGTAGGACTCTTGGAATTAATTATGCAAAGGCCAGCAATGTCTGCTCATACAGTGTTTTGGCGCTCTGCCCCTCATGGTTGTCTCAAGTTTCTGATGTACTGTTGTTGGGTTCACTTCCTCTGTGTCTCCACCCAGGGAGTGTCCCTGAGGAGGGTCCCCCGACGTTCATCCTGTTGGTGGAACCACAGACATTTATTTCTAAGTCTTCTTAGGGACTCTCTGTGTAACATGGAACAGATTTTCTGGGTTGGGTATAAAGTCAGTTTTGATTTTTAAAAATTAGGAGTTAGGCAAAATTCTCTGCCTACATAATAACTATGGCTTCCATATTTGGTCTAAAAGGGAAACATCTGTCACTCCGGTTTGTGGTGTAGAATTGCAGTCGTCATGTTGCAGGTAGAGGATATGGTTTCCTTCATAAAGCAGCAAGCATTGTCCTCCAGATTCCACAAGAAGTCCGTGGCCACGTTCCACATTCCTTTGCCTCTGAGTTGCTGAGTTCCCTCATTGTCACTGTGGGCAGCCACTTCTCCAGCCCCCTGCCCCATCACGGAGTTTATGCTGTTGTTTCTTGACCCCTAAACGCTGTGCCGGTTTGTGAATTTTGTTTTGTATTCCCAACCTTCTGTATATGATCGTTTTGCATATGTTGAAATGCTGAAATGCTTTGGCCAGACTTTCTCTTCGGTGAATTAAGAACGACTTGAACAAAGGCTTCCAAGTCACACACTCAACGCCATGTGCCAGCCCTGGGCTAGAGAGTGAAGATTCAAAGACAAAAGTCATGGTACCTGCCATCAAGAAACCCACTCCTATGAGGGCCAGACCCATAGAGAGAACATTATACACAAAATGGTAAATAACCCTGATGGAAGTTTCCAAGTGGAGTTATGGGAGTACAAAATGGAGACCTCTCAGAAGAATACCTCAGAGAAGCTTTATGGAGGAGATGATGCCTGACTTGAGTGTGAAAGAATGAATAAAGGTAAAGCCAGGAAGGGGGCAGGAAGGACATTCCCGTTAGAGGGAAAAGAAGGGACCTGGATTAGGGGATGGAATTCCAGGCAGATGAATGATGCCGGGACATGAAGTGAGAAGGCAGGAGAGGCGGGAGGGAGAGTAACTTAGGATCCAGGTCTTAGAGCAGCTTCCCAGCCGGGCGACCAGGCCAGAAGCCTCTGAAAGGATTACACGTGAGCATGGCAGCGTGCCCCTCCTGGGGAGAGGGAGAAGAGCCATTTTCCATCCAGCCTAGATGCCCTTGGTCTGAATCCAGGCACGGCAAGAGCCGGAGTCGGCTTTGCTCCGCACCACCCTACTTTGCCCCAACACCACCACCATTTTGGCAGCCCTGAACCAGGTTGTTCTCCAGTAATGATGCTGTGGTTCCCACTCCAGGAGGGTGGATGGACAAGCAAGTGCCTCAAGGCAGGGTAGCTGGAGCTAGGTTCTTCCAAACTTCCAGGCTCTGCATATAGAGCTGCCCCCATGGAAGCACTGGTGCAATGGGAGTAGGTAGCAAGGCCTGGGGAAGTGGGGGTCTGTGGCACGCTCTAGCCACAGGAATTCAGAAGGCTGCCCTCCCTTGCTAGCCATTTCATCTTGTCAGAGACCATGAGCAGTTTAGTTTAAACCATCTGAAGACGCCTCTCCTCAGGCAGATAAAGATGTTTCATACTGTGTGTCCTCAGCTGACCCCACATTGGAATCTGGGACTTTGGATTCTGTCCTAGACTTGGTCACTCACCCTCTGGTGAAATCTGGACAGATTCACTATTACATCTTTTAGCTGCATTTAACATAGATGAATAAATGCTAAATTTCCTTCCTCCCCTCTCCCTAGTTCTTCTTATTATCATCAGTAAAATGGTGACTTTCACCTTGGGGTCAACAAGGCCCACCTCGTTCCCACATTCTGCGATTCTCTGATTTTAACCCCCAAAGACTGAGAAGATCATATTTGCCAAGTGGGGGGGTGGGGAAGAAGGGATTAGCACCAACCCCTCTCCCAACAGTGACAGGAGGAAGGGTGTGTGGGTTTGGGCAATATGGAATCCTGTTTCAAAGGCTACCACTTAAATGTAGTGCTTACAGCATGTCCTGACTTCACTAGTTTTCACAATGGTCCATGTGCCCTAGCACGGTTTGTGTGAGAGAGCCGGGCACGGAGAGTTCAAGGAAGTGAACTCAGTCACCCAGCCTTCTACCACTGAGTGGCTGGGCTGGGACTTGAACTCGGGCTGTCTGACTCTAGAATCCATGAGCTTCATGCAGAGCTGCCTTTCTAGTAAGAAGGGAGAGCAATGATAGTGACAGAAATTGGACCGTGTCTCTCCTGCCTTGACAGGGGAGTCAGCATCATCTCTCACTGGGGCCTTAACCACTTTGCCACAAGTAATGACCGCTCCTTCTTTTCACGTGCAGATTAAGTGGGCAATCCATGTAAACGGCTTAGCGCAGGGTCCGTGGACAGAAAGCACCCAGTTAGTGTTCATGGGCATAATTTATTGAGCACCTAGTATGTCCATCATTGTTGTTCATACTGGAACCATGGAGAGCAACACGGCATCTGGCTCTCTTCTCTCGCTCTGGGTCCGCCTAACACTCCTTTACTTCCTCTGCTCGTGCATCCTGGCTCAGCAGCTACTTGTCCTTCCTGCCTCCATTCTTCCCTTTGTTCACTCCCTCCATCACTTTTTCCTCTGTTGATTGGTTCAGGACTCTTTCATTGAGCCCACTCTGTCTTCCTGGCCTTGTGCCAGGTGCTGGGCCTTTATCGTGGAGAAGGCCCCTTCCAGGGCTGGGGGAGGCCAGCGGAGTGTGGTCGGCCACAGTTTCAGCGAGCTGTGCTGACAAGGAAGGGCCTACAGGGCTCCTGGGAGTCTGCAGAGGGGTCCTCTGGTGTCCAGATAGAAGCCACCCTTCCCAGCAATAACTCAAGGCGGTTGTGAGCCACTTGGCAGGTGAAAGCTGAGCAGAACCTCACACTCAGTTCCCATAACCACGCACATGGGCATTTCCATGATGAGACCTGGCCTGGTTAGTGGTTACTAACCACCGAAGATTTTTTTGGATTAGAATTGAGATCAAAGATTTCATTAGTGCTCTTACCATCTGATATTCGTAAGACAGCTGAGCAATCACCCAGTGCATTCATTTATAAAACTGCTTTAAAACCTGGAGCTCCCCTATCCTTCTGAGGAGCCAGGCCTTTGCCTCCAGACTCAGGGGCTTATCTGAGGTATTATTTATTTATTTATTTATTTATTTATTTATTTATAAAATTTTATTATGTTATGTTAGCCACCATACAATACATCATTGGTTTTTGATGTGGTGATCCACGATCCATTGTTTTCGTATAACACCCAGTGCTCCAGGCAGTACATGCCCTTCTTAATACCCATCACTGGGCTACCCCTCCCCCCACCCTCCTCCCCTCTAAAACCCTGTTTGTTTCTCAGAGTCCATAGTCTCTCATGGTTCATCTCTCCCTCCAATTCCCACCCCCATTTTTCCCTTCCTTCTCCTAATGTCCTTCATGCTATTCCTTATGTTCCACAAATAAGTGAAACCATATGATAATTGACTTTCTCTGCTTGACTTCTTTCACTTAGCATAATCTCCTCCAGTCCCATCCATATTGATGTAAAAGTTGGGTATTCATCTTTTCTGATGACTGAGTAATATTCCCTTGTATATATGGACCACATCTTCTTTATCCTTTCATCTGTTGAAGGGCATCTCGGCTCTTTCCACGGTTTGGCTATTGCGGACATTGCTGCTATGAACATTGGGGTTTATATGGACCTTCTTTTCACTACATCTGTGTCTTTGGGGTAAATACCCAGTAGTGCAATTGCTGGGTCATAGGGTAGCTCTATTTTTAAATCTTTGAGAAACCTCCACGCTGTTTTCCAAAGTGGCTGTACCAACTTGCATTCCCACCAACAGTGTCAGAGGGTTCCCCTTTCTCCACAATGAGGTATTATTTAAATAGTTACCAAGGAGCTCCAAAACCACACCCAGAAAAAGAGGTCAGACGCGTGTGTTGGCAAACATTAATCGATGGCCTTCTAAACCAGCAGAATATTTTTTTTTTTTTTTTAACTCCATGCATCCTGCTTTGGAAAGGAGGACTGGAGATTTTAAATGGTCCAGACATCTGAAATTTCAATATGCTGTGTCTTTCACGTAACGAAGTTAAGCAGTACAGAAAGTAAGCAATTCCAGTCATCTCGCTTCGCCCAGACAGGTTCTTTGACTGCCGTGAAATTCTGAATCATTCTCGTGGAGGCCTGCAGTCGGGGGCTCTGCAGAGCTGCCGGAGGAGGGGCTCTGGGCGCTGGAGGAAGGCGCAGGTGAAGCGCGGTGGATGCGCTTTGAGCTCGCGAATGCCGGCGATGGCACCGTCTGCGGACGCTCGCCTGGCAGCACTTTGGGGGGGGCTCTGGTGACCTGATGCTTTGGAGGTGACAACAGAGCAGATGTTGTCATTTGATTTGAGTTGTCACATCGCCTGCCATTGTGTCGTGTCTCCTCCCAGCATAACGAGGCTGGAGGTGCTCTGTCCTGAGGGGTGTGGCCACGACCGGCTCTCCGGTCCCCGTGGAGCAGCAGCTGGTGGTTGCCGAGCAGGGATGGGGCTCTGATGAGACGTGGTCACACTTCCTGCCTCAGGGACCTCTGGCAGACCAGGGCTGGCTGGATCAGTGTCCCTGTGATAGTCGTCCAGGCTGGGGCTGTTCACTCCACAAGCATCTATTAGACAAC